GCCCACAGAGCTTGTGGAGCCTCCATCCTTGGAGATATTCAAAAGCCATCTGGATGTGGTCCTGGGCAACCGGCTGTCAGTGTCCCTGCTTGAGCAGAGGGGTCAGACCAGATAGATGACCTCCAGAGGTCTCTTCCAAACTCAACCAGTCTGTGATTCTGCACAGCTATCAGTAAGAAGAACAGAAACTCTAGCCTTATTTCGGGTAGGCTCCCATCTAACTGATTGATATCCTTCATGGTTGCGTCTCTTCGGCTTAATTTTAAGCATGCGCTGAAATGTTTCTACTCTAGGTGGTCCTGCTCTGGCAGGGGGGTTGGACTAGATGATCTTTCGAGGTCCCTTCCAACCCCTGATATTCTGTTACTCTGTCATTCTGTGAACAGGCACTTGCACTCACAGCTTGGCCGCTGAAGCTGCACTGCTTTGGTGCCACGCCACCAAATCACTAGATACTCACCTCTGATAGAAATTAAGGGAAAAAATGGACACCCAAGTACTTTTGTGGATGATGAATTTAAACCCCTCTAATCACTGTCAGGGCGGCCATTCTGTACCTCCCTTGTCAAAGGGGAATGAAATCACATAGTTCCTGTGAATCCTGGAAAGCGCTCTGAGATGCACAGATAAAACCCACACCCTATTGTTCATTACTGTTAGAATTATTATCCACTCTAGTATATCCACTCTATAATTATTACTCACTTTTCTCCCTAATGACTCATAACCTCCCGTAGCTGTGCACTTGGGAATTTCACACCACACCAATCATTTTGCTTTTACAGATTTCTTTTTTTTTTTCCGCTAAGGTTTTTAAATAATGATCAGTACAATACAAAGCTTAAAATATTGTCAATTGTTTTCAACAATACAAAGTCAGCAGATGGGAGTTGGGAAGGGGATGGTTAATAAGTAACACTCATACCCTTCCCTGTTTCCCAGGGCAAAAATACAAACTCTTTTGTACTTCTGTTTAGTAACAGTGCTTAAAAATCATCTTGTCAGTAAAAGATGTCAATTGCAAGGCACGTGAGGAACCTGTCCTTGCCTTGTTACACAAATCACTAGGCATAAATACAAGTTTAAGGCACCTCTCTCCATCCTCCCCTTCTGCTCCGTACACCAAGCAAATCCTGTCAGTGGGTATCAGCTGTTAACAGCCACCATGGACCGGCAGACAGCAAAGAGGCTGCCTCAGAGCCTCAGGTTCCTTCAGGATGAATCCCAAAAGGGAACAGCATAAGGCACATTGGGATGAATTCTCAGGAGTTGTCCTGTACAGATCCAGGTTGCGAGATCTGCAAAAACACTGTCTCAGGACCAGAGATTCGTGAGGGAGAGGGTTAGGACCTCAGCCCCTTCAGGATCTCAGATGTGCTCAACCTTTGGTAGTCAGCTCTTCAAACGCTGTCATGGGTACGCCCTTCCCAACCATGCCTCCTTAGAGGAACGCCAGGATGGAAGGAGACATGCTCCAAAGCAGTGAGCCCAAGGAGAAGGCCCTGAGAGGCTCTCAGACAAGCTGAGCACTTACCACAGCGGCACTTTTACTCTCTCTGGACCCAGCCCTGGTCTCCCCTCGATCAAAGGCAGGGCTTCCAGGAGGGCACCGACAGCCACTTTCCCGGCCCAGCTGAGGAGCAGCAGACTGCACGGCATGTGGAGTCTGCTCAGGCGGGCAGCCAGGTGCATAAGGCACAGGGATGAAGTCTGGGGATGAGGGAAAGAAAGAAACTGGTTGGAGGAAGAGGAGGAGGATGGAGACGGGGATGAAGGAAGCTCCAGTGTTGGTGAGCCCCTTGAGACACAAGGGTGCATCCTCACAGCAGCAGCGATCTGTACTGAAATTCCCTGCTAAGTCAACCCATCATAGTAACCAGGAGGTCAGCTCCAGGTCTGAGTGCAGGGCCGCAGGGGGACGTGGGCGGCTTCGCCTGAGGGGTAACACGAGACTATGTGAAAACACCACCACCATCACACAATTGCTCCAGAAGGAGAAGTTGCACTTCTGCTGGACCAGGGAGGAGGAGACGTTATGACCAGAAATACCTCAGAAGAGCCACGTAGGCACCTCCTCTCCCTGTCCTTGAACCAGACGGCATTTCTGTGCTCATCCTCCTTTGACAAGAGCAGGACATTTCACCTATTTTCAAACCCTTAGAGAAGGAAACACCTGGGTGATCCCTTCCTTTGGTACCAGTATAACTAGGTAGCAGCAGAGCAGGGTTTGCTATTAGCAGCGATGCCCACTCCCTCTCCTTTTTAGCCCAGAAAGGAGCTCTGGACCAGCCTGGTTTACCCTCCTTCCTGCACAGGAGCCCGCTGATACCGCCCAGCCAGATCTACACTCAGTGGCTTATTCTGCTTTACCTACCGCAAAAGCAAGGAGAAAAAGCACTGCTCCCACTGGAAGTCTTTTCTCCAAACTGGGAGGAGACCCACAAGCAAAGCCGCAGCGACCACGGAGGAAGCAGTCCATCAGGGCAGCTAAGCTAGTCGAGCAACCAGCTGCTGTGCAAGGAGGAGCTGCTGCTGGCCTCCGCTCCGGCCCTTCCCTGCAGGCAGCAGTGTTGTCCAAGTGAGCTGGCTGAAAGTTAAAACCAGCAGAAAATTACTGACATTTTTTTCAGTAGGATTGGTTTGCCGCTGGTCCCTCTCCCAAGACCAGCTCGCTCTGTGGCGAGATGAGCTTCTGTGCATGGGAAGGGGTATGATGAGGTGTAAGTGGGAGGGACTCTCCCCACTTGCCACTCCCCTGAGGCAAATTTGCTGTTAGGTCAGCATGGCTGTACCGTCAAAACACACCGTAGGAAATGAAACTAAATAATTTCTAAGCTGGACTGGATGTAAACCAGGAGGCCTAAAGTGATGAGAAAAAGTGGACTAGATGACCTCCTGAAGACTTTCCTATGATTTCTTCTCCTGTACTTAAAACTTACTCCCCCCCTGCTTTGTATTTAATGCATCAATAGGGCCATGAGTTCCAAATTTGTCCACAAAACAAACAGGACACAGCAAAGCACCTATTAACCGATCTGTTTTCAGAGACGCTGTTGTCTGGCCCACCTTGCTCCTCCAGCAGCACAGCACTGTTTCCTTCAGACTAACCTTGTCCCAACTAGAAGGCTCTGCAGGTACAAAAGCCAAAGGCAAACCTTTCCTGGGTCATAAATCATGCGCGCACACACGTACACAAACACAGGCACACCCCAACAGTTAAAAACAGATCAAGTGCAGAAATCAGTGCTTGTCATTGCAAATCGTACCCCCAACCCTAAACTCCGACTGCTCAGAACCACCAGTCACAATTCATTTGCCTGCCCTTGCATTCAGTGAGATAAATCTGTGGCTGGAATAAATCCCGTGGATTCCTTGCTTTCAGCAAAGACTTATACCTCCGAGGAATCTGCCAGATGTCAAGGCGTTTGAGGCTGCAGGTCTTGCACTGGTGTAGCTGGGAGGAGCCGTGCCAGGGTTTACTATGGAAAGCCAACAGTGCGTCTAACAGCAGGTGCCCAGGCTGCACGGGACCGTATCTCTGCATTGGCTCTGAGCGTCCTGTCCTGAAAGTGCCACCAAATTCAGTGCAACAGTGTGACTCCATATCCGATATTCCCCCCAAGCGAGCCCAGAAGAGACTCATCTAGCGGGGGACATGTTAAACCAACCCTTGCTATACCTTAGACAGGACTGACCCACGGACATTAAGTGTCCCTGACCACTGTCTTTGCTATTCCACACAGAAATCACCAAGTCTTAAGGACAAACCTGTCCCAAGGCTGCACAGGACCCTAATGCCGTCATCCTGCTCCTGCCTTTTGTTGTTCTACCTTCATCTAGCGCTGACAAAAACATGCCAGATTGACAATGCCGCTGGTCAGAGAAAAGCAAGCTGGCAGCTTCGAGGTCAGCTTTCCCACGAGGCCCACCAACGACTGCCTGGTGTCTTGAAAAGCACCATTAAGAGGGGAATAAAGACCCACTTTCATACCCTTTTGGCCATGACCGTAGCAGGGCTGTTGGAGGGGCAGGGCCCAGAGCCTTTCCCGTATCACACGGGTGACACCCAAGTCACTCTACACTGCATGGACAGTGCTGGAAGTCAGTCAGACTCCCCTGACAGACGATACACAGTCAGTCTATGCAGGAACGCACGAACCTGTCACAGAGGCAGCCAAAATGATACACCCAGCATCAAAAGCATCTCCCCTCCTGGGGCCAGCGCCCTGAACACTGGTGGCCTCAGGGGTGCTCAACCTCTGCCACTGCTACTGAGGAAGGCTCAAAACCATCTCCAACCTGACCCAGACCTAGCTCCTCAGAGGCAACTTAAGCACTTAAAATGGAAGTGAGGAGCCTTTGAGGACACGTCTACCGAACAGCCATCAGCACGGCCACTATCTTAGGTCACATTCAAACTGCTGAGAAAGACCCCACCTCCTGTTAGTAATCCTTGAGACAGCCTGACTCCTTGGTTTTGCTGAGCCGCTCCACTGCAGACGGTGCGGTCATACAGAAAGAAAAAGATGGAGCTGACCCGACAGCTCCACCTGTGCTGGACCCACACCAGTCACCCGCAGACACAGGCCTCAGGTTCGGACCCAGTTCATCCTGGAGGACCCCAGGTCAGGCCTAAGTCTCCAAACATGCTTTGCCAAAGCCACCTCAGCAACCTGGCGTTGAAATACTTGACAAGGGGACTGTAGAGAAACCTGGCTTAGCCCAGCTGGAGCAGGAAAAGGATTATACCAGCCACTGTGCCACACACCCCCTTGCAGCTGAACCCTAGAAATGTAGACTCCTCCTGAAACCTTGCTACTGCCTTTGATAGTAACAGGTCTCCCACAGATAGCAGAGATGCCAAAAGCCAGAGAGGTCATCACATCCAGCTGTAGTCCTCACGGTGCGTTCTCCGCTGCGCTGGGGGCCTGGCAGACCCTCCTACAGTCTCACGGCCTTCCAGCTGCCCTCCCTGATATTCAGGAAGATATCACCCACAGGTTTACCAGAATGAACAAGAAACCTCTGCCTATTCCAGCGTCCTTGGTTAAGTGACTTGTTCGGGCTTAAAACACTCCATGTCCCCCCGGAGGGCAAAAGGCAGTCCCTGCTGTGAAAATGCATCCAGCGTGAAGTCTCCAGCCCTCCGTCTGAGTCCAGGGTCCCAGTTAGTCACAGCGTGTTAGGCGAATAAGACAGTTATGTCTCTATTGTGTTATGCCCCTTTTCTTGATTTTCACCACCCCAGTGATGTCATGCTCGTCACATTCTGGCTCTCAGCAGTCCTTTTTAGCCAGGCTGGCCTTGATCCTGCATCGCAGGACGTAAGCTGTGATGGCACTACAAGCCACCAGGCCAAAAAAAGAGATGCAGGAGAGATAGACGGAGAAAGGCCCATGTCTCTTCAGGAAAATCTCTTGCCTGTTCTTGTAATCCAAGAGAATGGCCTCCAGCTGTGAGAGGGTGCAGATCGCCAGGAAGGCGTGGAAGATCTGGTGGGCATGGCCAACAATATCGCAGGAGCCAGGGAAGTACTTCTCGGGAACGGGGCAGGAGAAGAAATAAGCACTGATAAGGAAAAACAGTATCTGGTACGTGTGGTACCAAGCAGCATCTTCCTCACAGCCCCCCAGGTGACACACAGCCACCCGGTGAGCGACGGGACTGATATCCAAGATGAACGCCAGCCCGGCTGGGATCACCTGGCACATCTTCCTCATGACGGGGTAAGGCCGGCGGTACCGGTATTTTGCGTAGCAGCAGCCAGCACAAGACAGCCAGCCACAGAAAGCAGCTGCCGGCAGGAAGAACAGCCAGAACTTGTCGTACCAGGCTTGGTCGGAGCTGTAGTAGAAATGAGCCAGGGCGCTACCGTACTGGTAGATGCTGACTCCAACGTAGTCCACGAAGTAGAAGGTGTAGTGGTACAGCTCCGATTTGGACTGCAGGAGGTGGGCCAAGAGGCTGCAGGTCAGGTAGGTGACAGAGGAGAGGACAAAGATGAGCAAAGGCAAGGACCACGCGTCCACGGGTAACTGCTCAGCCTCCACAAACGTCTTGAATCTCAGCAGCACGGCCAGCGCCGCCAGGAGATGAGTCCATACGTTGACCACCTCGTTGTGCTTCTGGAAGAGGCTCAGGAAGTAGTACCGCCAGTCCTGGCCGGTGGGGCGGTAGCCGGCGTGGATGTACGGCTCACGGAAGAGCTGCGGCACCTCGCACTCTTTGACCGTGCAAGGCATCTTGGGGAAGCCATCCTCCAGCAGCCTGGGGAGACGGCTGAGGTGCTGCCCGCTGAGGGACAGCGTGCTGATCCGCTCCAGGATGGCTGTCATCTCGTTGCGTGCGGTGGCTGGGAGCCTGGCTCCGGGGAACGTCGTCTTCGTACCCTGCGGGGAGGGGAGAAAGAAGAAACGTTAACAGGGACGCACCAGGGAGAAAAGCACGCTGGGTGGGGTGAGCCATGGCGCTGTCGAGATGCTGGCCCTGCTCTTAGGGGAAAGGGGCTTTCCTTGACTCAGCAGACCTAAATTCAGCATGGAGAAGGATGGCACAGCCCTGTCCCAGCAGTTCATCCTGGGCACAGCCATGTCACGAGCCTGCCCTTCTTCCTCACTTCCTCGGGCGCTCAGCTTGGAGCGTGTTCAGGAGTAGCCAGGAGCTGCCCATCAGGGGGTGCAAGAAGCAGCTGGATGTCAAGAAAGTACCTGATGATTTGTGGAGGGGATTTTTTACCCCTTTCCCCAGAACAAACTGCTCAGCGAAAAAAATTAGGGTTTAGTTACTCATCTAAGAGATAACCTGCCTTTCTGCACCTCAGTGAAGAGGGTCCCAACCAAATCATGGAGGTTGCAAATAAGCTCAGCTTCCCTGCCACACAACTTGCACATGGCTGCTGCAGCGAGTACCTCAGAACGAGAAAGGGAGGAGTCCACAGTCCCAAACCTGCAGCCCTCATCCCTCCACGTGTAAGAAGGAGAAGGACTGGGAGGTGATGGAGAAACAAGAGGTTCCGCATCAGAGCTGGCTGCAGTTTGGGTACAGCACCGAAGCCTTGGAAGCACCCATGGAGCCGTGCTGAGGGGCTGCCAGATGAGATGTGCCTGGATGCTCCGAGCAGCCAAACCTCGGTGCTAGGCACTCCTCTGCCTGCTCTGCTCCGCTCCTGGGCAACCTCCGGAGTGGCTCAGCTCTTGCTGGAAAGATTCAGATTCAGGGCACAGCAGGATCATAATGTCTGGAGACTGCCTCACAGCACTGAATTAATTCCCAATACCCCCTGTTTCCCTTCCACCCTAGATATTTCTCTTCCTTGCTGGTGTTTATGCCCCACAAAATAGAGGAGAACTCATCACACAGATGCCCATGCTTGAACTGCAATTGATGCTGATGGAGCCCCACCAGACTCTGCCGGGCTGTGGTTACTCCTGTGCAGCCAATACATACATGTTTGCAGGAACAGGGCCTGACTCCTAAGCTTATATGCACCAACCAGAGCTGCAGTGGAACAGGCTGCCCAGAGAGGTGGTGGGGTCTCCTCCTCTGGAGACATTCAAAACCCGCCTGGACACGTTCCCGTGTGACCTACTCTGGATGGTCCTGCTCTGGCAGGGGGGTTGGACGAGATGATCTCCCGAGGTCCCTTCCAACCCCTCACATTCTGTGAGATGGACAAAAATAAGTAAATGCAAACAAGTCTTTTGCCTGAGCGTGGGAAACAGCGTCTTTTTCATCTGTTGCATCAGATACCAGCTGCTGCCAGAGCTGAGACAGAGGAAGAGTTTGTGTGGGCACATGATGGGAGACCCACGCTAGGCTGGCGACAGAGAGGACAGGACAGTGTTAAGCACCATGAGAGAGTGAAAGCAGGGAGGTGGGACCTGTCAAACAGTCCCAGGGCAAGACACCACAAAGAGCAAAGTCAGAGCAGACTCTGAACCAGGTTGCAAATCCCACTTCCTCTCGTAACCCAAAGCCTCTGATAACAGACAAAATATTTTCACGTTGCTTCCGTATTCTAGCAGATGGGAGTTGTCATATAATTAAGTTACATCTTCCAGCCAATTCTCTCTCTCTCTCTGCGCTTTCCAGGCTTTCTGCCTTAGCACCTCTCAGTGACCTTGTTTGCCACAGGGGAAGCTGGCTGCTGAGTTTGATGGAGCTGCCTTAGCCACAGAAGGCAAAACGGTCCCTGCAAACGGTATTTTAGTTTCACAGATGCAGAAGACTGAAGGCAGCACCTTTGCTGGGGGGTTTGATGTTGTGCACGTTCACAAAGACTTTGTTTCTCTCCTAAGGGTCTGTGGGTCCAGATCTGTGATGGGGGAGGGGGGGGACACACAGTTCATTCAGCAGCTTGTGCAAATCCTGTGGGGATACATGCCAAAATTTCAGGAGGCAAGGCAAATTTGGACTCTGGGGCACTCCTACAAGGGGATGGTGTGAAAAAGAGGCAACACTCCCTCTCCCCAGTTCTAATGTACTGCCAGTCTATTCTGGCTCCTTGGAGAAAGAAAGGCTCATTCATCCAACCTACTCTAGACCTCAGCTTCAGGAGAAGGCAAAGTCCAAGCAAGGAGACCATCCCTGGCTGTGCAGCACTGTAGTACTCACCCTCTATTGCCCTCTATCTCCTTTGGATGGTCTGGCCAGAAGTTGGCTGGAGGCTGAGCACGTTGGGGTGGGAAGGACAGGGAGATTTTATGAATGTGTCTGTACTAAGACAGCGTTTGATTTCCTGGTCTAGATGCACAGACAAGAGTTCCCTTCCCATGCCGACTGCATCTCCTTCACTGCTGTCTCCAGCTGATGATCTCCAGGCCTCAAGCACAGGTTTTGTCCTGTGCAGAAGTATGAGTAGAGACTCTGAAGTGTTTTGTGTGTTCTAAGCTCCTCTGCCCTGTCCATTAACCTCCCATAACGTGTTTAACACCTCTCCCAGCATTTGCTCTGATACAGCCCAAGCAAGAGGGCTTGGACCCCCGCTCACCATCTCCCAGCTTCCCTTTAACTAAGCATGGTTCAAGGATTTGGGCCCACTACAGGGGTCTCAGTGCTGAATCTTCATCTCAGTTCATCCCACCAGGATGCTGAAAAACCCTCCAAAAAGGTCTTTAGGCACTGATGTTGGGGATGGGGATCATGGTGGCAAGGCAGAAGGAGAAGGGGCATGCTGAAGCTCTCCATCTCTTGGAGAACATGGACTAATGCTAGCGTGGACCCCAGGACATCAGGAACTGAAAACCAGCTGAGATACGGCACCGACTGTACAGGTGAGCTGCACAGGAGCGAGGTCGGAGCGCTTACCTCCCGCGGAGAGGCAGCAATATGCTGAAACCCGCCCGTAAAGAGCAAAGGCAACCAGAAGCCAAGCGGGAGGACAGCCACCAAGCCTGGATGTACGGATGCCGAGGGGCACATCGCCCCTTCCACCCTCCGTGGCCTGCCTGCTTTGCATGCTGACAAGGATAGAAGAGAGACAGGCAGCTTCTGTACCAGGCACAGGCTGGCTCCGGCTTGTACGGTGTGCACTAGCGCCAGGATTTTGCCACGGTCTCTCATCCCGAGAGCTCCGTGCGTACAGCGAGCATCCCCTTGGAGAGAGCTAGGGAGAGGTTAGACGCTGCAGATCTCCCTGACAGCAGCAGACAGGAGAGATTCTTCCAGGCAGGCTTTCATAGTTGGAAAATGCCATTTTTTTAATGGGCCAAGGGAGGGTCAGAGATTTTTAAAATAATAGCCTGAAATCACAAGAAACACATCTGATACTCGAATAAACAGTGCTAAATCAGGAACCTGGTAGACTGCTTATTTTAAACCGAACTTGTGACTGTAATGAGTGAAAACAAGTTGGCAATTCCCAGCGATCATGTGATGGACAAAGCGACGAGTAATTAACGTTAGAAAAGACAGAGAAAGAAAGGAAAAAAAAAAAAAAAAAACCAACAAAAACCCACCAACCCAGAAACCCAAGGTCAGCACTGGCTGGTTCACTTTCACAGAGCCCCTATTCTTTTCCCTTCACGGGGGCGTAGGAGCGGCTGAAAGCCACATTCATCGGCAGGGCGTCTCGTTGAGATTCTGTCCTCACCTCCCATCTCCGGGGGATTCAGTTATTTTGGCTGCTCCCAATTAACGGCAACCAAGTCTCGTTTGTTCGGGGAGGGAGCTGCAAGGCGAGAAGGAGGCGGTGGATGGTGGCCAGGCTGTATCATTACAGCCACAATAAGAACCGTGGCACAGGAGGAGAACAATCCCGTTCCAATTTTTCTCTCCCTTTTGAAGAGAGTAATTGAAAACGCGAGCTTTTCCCAGCTCTCTTGCTTTTTGGTCACAGTCTGATGGAGGGGTTTGAATGAGAAAATTTCCTACAGAGTACGGTTGATTTTCCCACCGGTTTGGCTTCAGCGTTAACTGTCTGGGACTGAGGCTGTACCAACGGGATATATTTGCTTGCAGAAGAGTATTCAGGCATCAGAGGTTTACACAGGCATCCAGAAAGGCAGTAATTCCTGCTAAACAAAGCAGGGAAGACTGAGGAACTCAAGAGTGTGGGGAAGCCTTTAATAAACGCGTTGCATTTAAAACAGAATGAAAAAAAAGGAAAAGTGGTTGTGGACCGCATGAAAGGAACAGCAGTGACCCTGCAGCAGTGGGCGACAGACTGGTTTTGAGAGCTGCAGGTGATTCACTCCTGAATTGCTGTCTTCTGAGAGTTGAGCAAAAGTCCCAGGAGGGACTCCAGGTCATTTTGAAGCCTGGGGGTTTATTCTGCCGGCTTCCTGCAGGGGGTTAACTTCGGTGTCACAGCTCCTGCAGCACCAAGACAGCAGACAGCAGGTCCGCTCTGACCGGGCTGCACCAAGGCTGCGCCCAAGCTCAGATGCAGTGAGTAAGCCCCATCCCAAAGCTTGCTGCCTGCAGGCTGCTCCTCCCTGAGCCCAGACATCTCCTCCTCTAACTAAAGCACTTCCAGGGACCTCAGGGGAAACTTGGAAAGACCAGCTTGGCGGCATGGCGCTGGCTCTTTGGTCCCATCCTGCCTGGTGTTTTGGAAAGGCTCTACTAGAGATGAGAACCTGAGACCACGGACTGGCTCTAGCAGCAGTTCCCGCGTACTCCTGGTACTACCTGCTTCCTTCTCCTGCCATAGGTTTAGGTGCTAACCTTCCTCCTCCCTGCAGCAGATGCGCACAGCACTCGGATCCCCTCTGCAGGGAGTTGTTTGGATTTACACGGGTGCCACAGAAACCAGACCCTGGAAGAGGCGGCATTTGATGGTTTGTGCCAGGGACGAGCCCTGCCCGAGCAGGCAGCAGGGTATGAAGGACTGAGC